TCCTGTCTCCATGTCAGGTATAATTTATGATTATAAATATTGAATAAAATTACCGTTGCTGTCTGAAGCAACAACCTTAACTTCAGCTGCTGTTAACATCTTGTGGGGAAAAAAACCCCAGATTACATTCATTATTGGTGAGTATCATTAACGTAAGTTGTTAGTGTCTGTTTTTAGATTATGGATATTTCAATTTCCAACCTAATAGAGATGAATTTGTAGAGCAAAGTGAATGGGAAAAATGATTCTGGTACACACGTTGAGTTTTTGGGCTCTCTGTGATGTTTTTTGGATGACTACTGAAAAAAAGCCTTCTCCAAATCATTTCACACAACACAAAGTACCGCTGCGTGTGCCTGCCTATCCCATAATGACACTGGGTGCACTTCAGACTTGTACCATGTTGAGAGTGATATGGAAATGTTACTAGGTTGCCATCATGATTTTTACAAAACAGTGATCCAGGTGCTCATTCAGTCAAAAAGCCGACACTTTTAGTTGCTTTCAGATTATCGGAAAGGAGTGCACGCCTGAAAGAGGCTATATTTAGTGAACAGATATGAGAGATATCGATATTCTCATCTAATGCGGAAAAAGAGAGTCGTGTCATGCGACTCTTTTAACCTTGCAGGAAGCAAATTCTTGTCAGAGACAAGACAGATAAGCCTCTATAATGTGACTGTGAACACCTTTTTTTTTCTCCACAACATGATAGAATATACTCACAGAAGTGATAACAGTGGTCGTGGTGTGAGTGCATTTTGACCAGTCCAATTGCCAGAACTCATTTCCTACCATTGCAGGATTAGTTTCCTCCCCACACATGACCTCCTAACCTCACAATGGCATCAAATGAAGTGAAGAGGCAGCATAGAAACAACAGGGAGAGGCTGAGGGGGGAGGATGATTATCATGCTGCTTTGACACACTGGTGGGAGGAAAAAAAAGTGGGAGGCTGTGTTGAAGGAAGACAGGGACCGACTAGTGTAGCCACTCCTGACTGTAATCAGCATCTTTATCCATCATCATTAGCCACTGCTAAACGCTGCAACTGCCTTTCACATCTGTTTTCCACCCACAGAAATGCACAAAGCCTCTCAAACCCATTAAGACAGAGGGAAGAAGCAAGCGGAGACTTGCTATTTGTGCAGGAACTGGAGCGGTGACACTCTCAGTCATCAACTTATTTTTTCGCCTTGTGTGTTTACCTCCTCAGCTACAAAGCTTCCGCTCTATGGAAACTAAAAGTTGGAGTTTTCAAACACATTGGAGTAATTAGACAGTGAGCAGCCATCACTCAAGCAAGCATCCTCTTGCTTCTGAGACTCGCTGATAAACATGCAAACGCTGCATCGCATTCATCTCTTCCTTCCACCGTGTCATCCTCAGCTAGCGGGGCAGCGAACACACTGAGCAGAGCAACTAAACCCTCCCTCTGCCTTTCACTCATGGATGGGCTCCTTCGATTGTGAACCTCCCCGATCATCTAGAGCTGTTTTTATCATGCACAGCGCATAAATGCATGGAGGCAGAAAAAAGAAGGCACCTGTTTGTGCTTGCAAAGACATGCGCGCAGCAGATTCGTGTGAATAAGCCCATGCAAGTGCACCAAGGCATGTGTGCCTATAGTCGTTCAGCATACATACAGACATCAAGCATTGTGTGCACGTACAAAAAGGCACAGCATGAACTGGAGAGTAAAATATTCTGAGATATCTGAGAGCACACGTGTCAGGTTTATTTCTATTTTTGGTCCACTCGCAGCAATCTGAGGAGGGTCATGTGTGTTTGTTGGCTGCTCAGTCTGCTGCTCCATCACTTTGGTTCAGAGAGTGATTTATCAAAAACTGCAGGCTGGATCAGTGGTTGTCTTGCATAATTAATTATGATCATCCATTAGGAGAGATTAAAAGCAAATTAGTTTGGATGTCTTAAATAACACTATCAAGGACGCGGCATGCATGTATCTTATCTTGAACATTGTGGGAAATTCGCAAAAAGCAGCTTGAAGTTCGCGTCCCAGTGAAGACACCCGGGATCTTTCTGCATGGAGTTTACATGTTCTCCCCGTGCAGCGTGGGTTCTCTCCGGGTTCTCCGGCTTCCTCCCACACAGTCCAAAAACATGTTGAGGTTAATTACTGATTGTAAATTGTCTGTAGGTGTGAATGTGAGTGTGCTATGTTGTCTGTCTCTAAGTGTAGCCCTGTGATAGACTGGCGACCTGTCCAGGGTGTCCCCTGCCTTCACCCTAAATCAGCTGGGATAGACCCCAGCCCCCCACAACACTAGTGAGGATTAAGCGGTGTATATATAATAGATGGATGGATAGAAATTTAACCAAACTTCGAGAGGCTTTTGAAAAACTCTCTCACAATACTGACAGCAAACTGAAGAACATGTTGGTGTCTTCATATGTTGGTCCTGTCTGACACATTGGCTTGATCACCTGGTTTTCAGTTCTTGCTTTTAAATAAAAGACTAAATGTACCTTACATTTTTGTACGTAACCCAAATCTTGCTGCAGTGAAAGCGCATGTTTGATAATCAGGTTGATTTAACTTTAGTTCTGCTCCATATTTTGCTCCCCAGCCATTTGCGCTCCACCTCCCCTGCAATGGGGTTAGTCTTAAAGAAAGACTACAAAGAAACTACTGACAGAAAAGTCTTTACATTGGATGACTTGGGGCTTCACCAGGAGGTTTAAGTACATAGAGTTTTATATGAACTCCTCGGCATTGTGCAGCTCCATAAGGCGTTCCCAAGAACCAGCAGGAGTGCAGCAACTTTGAACAGTATCCAAAGTTAAGACTTAACCTGAACTTTGACAACTACAGTTATATTCATTCTAGCATAACACTGCTGTTCCGACTTATTCTGAATGTAGCATTTTCCAATTCATATGTAAGATGTGCGGACATCTTTTGGGTTTTAGGAGCATCCTTTCGACTTGTATACAGCACATTTAGAATATTCATCTTTAATTGGTTTTTACTGCAGATGTTGGACACAAACAACTAGTCAACACTTTGAAGTTTGGTGCAGGGATGCATTACCAACAGAAAGGCCTATATTTCTGCCTTTAAGAAGCAGAAAAGTAAGTCCAGAAACGGAAGAAATACATCTACTTTTAAACCTTATGAAAGGCTTTATTATCAACAGGTTTTTGAATAATGTGTAAACACACTTCTGACCTTTTCAAGAAGGTGTTTGAAGGAACGATAAAGGGAGGCTGTGTCTGCCAAAAAAAAAACATATTTTGATGCTGGCACAAACAGCGCCAGTTGTTCCACTTCTATGTTTTGATTTAATAAACACCGTGTTCGGGCATCGACCTCTGTCATACGCATCAAGCACGGCGTTAACGTGGGATGTGATGAGTTCCTGCACCAGATGATGCTGAGGATGCATGGCTGCATGTAAATGGGAATATAAGTGGGGGAATAATTCTTTTCATGTGCCATGTAAACAGCTCAATAGGATTATTTTTCTGAACAAGGACAAACACTGGAATATTTTGTGCATGTAGTGTGTGATGGTGGCTGAGGGTTTTGCCCCTGCATCAACATTTTAATGTCATACAAAAGACTTAATTTTACTGGTCTATAATTTTGTAATAAGTTCATATTCTGTAGTTTCCTTTAAAAAAAAAAGTGATATATTACTTATAACATTTAGATTTTCTTTTGAAGCGCAGTGATTTGCCTCATTCTGTCTGAATTCAGAATCCAACAGGTTTTGGAAAACGACTGAGATGTTCTGATTACGATGGCAGGATAAACATTGTCCATGTAATTGCAGACACTCACTAAGCTCTCATTCAGCTTGCATTGCCTCCAGGACAAAATGTCTTTCAATGTGAAAACAGATTGCCATGAAATTGGATGAGCACGTACATGATCCCAAAGGGGTGAACTCTTTTGTTTTTAATGACCTCGTAACCTTTCCTCTGGCAGCATTTAACAAAAAATGAAACATTTTTAGTGTCACCGCTGATAAATGCGCATAGCCGTATCGTTAATATATTTGTTCCCTCTAGTCATTTCATATTCTTCTATGTAACGAACATCGCAGCCTCTAGAGGCCTCTCGAGTGACGCCCGTCCTTTGGGGCTTTAGGCTTATTTGTGGTCCATTTATGTTGAGAGGTGAGCGAGTGTTTTTTATTTATTATTGTCTCTGAATTAGTCGGAATAATTTAGAGGCGCGCAGCTGTGCAGTATTTACACCATAAAATGTATCCTTAATTAAATTAATTCATATTCAGATTCAATTAAAGAACAGAAGAGGATTCCCTTGTGTGATCACCATGCAATCTCAGCCGCAGTTTGTTTTATGTCCTGATTAAAGCCCCTGTAAATATGCATTTATTTAATTCATTGCACCGAATTATATATTGATTTCGGCTGCATGAGGGCTGATGTGTTTTTTTTTTATTATTGATATTAAAGGAAAACATAAATCCATGCTATGGGTTATTGATGTTTGCATTATGATGATCACAAGCTGGATGTTCTTCTTGCATCACAGCTCGCTAACAGAAACAAAAGTGTGCACACACACATGCACACCTGGTGCGTCATCATCATAAGCAGTTTCTGTGGAACGAGGCTGATTCGACGCAATGGCACAAAGTGTCAGGGGAGCAGGTGTTTGTACCTCTCAGACAAATAAGAGAGCCTGAGATGTAGGCTGAGAAGGACCGGCCCTCCCTTTTTCTTCCCTCTTGCACCGATTCACAATCCATCAGCTTTTCTTCCCTCCTACCATCATCTTTGATCCTCGTTCTTTTCAGCTCATCTCTTACCTATTTTGCTTCACCCAGCTCTCCCATCAACCCTTATCAAAGTTGTTCTCACCAGCTTCCTCCTCCGTCTGTTTCTAAATCTCCCGAAATCATCAGCTTAGCTCCTCTGTGGTCTTCACACTTTTCTGCGCCAACATCTAATTGCACCTTTCATCGCAAAGCAGCATTCAAATGCATACATGAGCCTGGAAAATATTTCATATCTCTCTTTTTTTTTTTTTTATTTACAACACAATGCAGTAAATACTCTGCCCATGACAGACCTGCCCACCTCACAGTTTACAATCCTGTTTGATTTGTAAAGATCGAAAAGCTTCTGCCTACATCAGAGCAGCCAGCAGGCAGCTCTAAATCATGGGGAGGTTTGCCAGTAAACAGACAGTCCCTTTAAAAAACACTGAGAATTTTTCCACTGTGCATTACATCAAAATCTCACATTTTTAATTCTAATGAAGCCACACTGAGCACAATGCCTTCACATCAATATATATATGACAATCTTCGAAATGATGTGAGTCTTGGCAGGGACCTATACGATCCTTTCAGCACAACTCAAGTACACGGTCATGAAATTTGACTCGTGCATGCACTGGTGAGTAACTGATGGTCGTGGCGATGAGGGTGGGGGTGTGTGGGGGAGGTGAGGAACATCAGTTAATGCACACAGCGCGGTGGCAGTGGACCTCCGGATGAAGTGGCCCGCAGCTCTACGGTCAATTTGTCAGCTTTAAAGCTCCATTTTTTCTCCAAAGAGCCTTGAAAATTGCACCGACCTCAAAGTCCTGAACTGAGGAACTGTGCCAATGAGCAGTACACATATCCATATACAAGACATATCCACAAGAAAGCTATCAATAGGACTGTGTGCATGTGATAAGTCTTATTTGAGGAGTAACACTGTTCGAATGTAATCCCAGCCCTGTTGAGAAAGAAGAAAGTCTTTGTTGGAGTCAGAAAAGTAAGAAAAATCCTCTTTTGTTTGCGTTTATTGCACAATGCAGCGTTGGTCCATTTCCATGCTTCAACTTGCTGCTATTGTTTAACTCCTGTAGGATACAAAGCAAGTTTGCTCCATTTGATGGCGACCTGTGTACGTCTGTGGTCACTGCTTGCTAAATGTGCCGTGCCTGAGTTGGAGCACGAATGCACAGCCTCATTTCCACATTAATGTCCCCGCCGTTCCTGCTTCCTCAGCAGCTGAGGATCTTGATGAAAGCCCGCCTGAACTCGATGTTGAAGGTCGTGTAGATAACAGGGTTAAGGGCGCTGTTGACATACCCCAGCCAGGTGAAAGCACTGTAAAGTGCAGGAGGCACGTAGCATGTCCTGCAGTGGGTGTTCAGAATGTGAGTCACAAAGAAAGGCAGCCAGCAGATGAGAAACACCCCTGGAGCAGCCAGACAGCAGAGAGGTATGGAGAAAGGACGACAGGGAATTGAAGTTGTAAGTAGGACAGAGTGGTATGAATAGTCGAGATACAAAGAGAAATAAAGTAAGAAGAATGGTGAGTAGATGGAAGGTGGGAAAACGTGAATGTGAAACATGTTTGAAAAGTGTGAGGAAGATGGGTAAAATAGAAAAGGAGAGAGAAAAAAAAAGAGAGACTTCATGTTAATCATGGTCACAGTTCCGGTTCACTAAAAGCTCCCACAAAACACTTATCGTTAAATCACTGCTTAACAACCTCACAGTTTCACAATATGTCTGCAGGGCTGAGATGGTGTAGCAAGAGTCAGACTCTGTAAGACTTTGGACAGTGGTGTCTGTTTTTAGCTTTTTCCAATCTAAAAAATACAAGAGCAAAATAATAAAGAATTGATGAAACACTTCTTTTTTTTTTAAGCAGCCAACGTTAGTATTCCCAGTTTACTACCCACTGAGGTGATCATAGACGTACCAGTATTGCCAGTGTGGCCTTAAAGTGCCATCATTTGTAATTATGTGATCATCAACTAACTACATCAGCTATAATGCAGGTGATATTAGGAAGACACAGCCACTGTGTGGGAGAGCAACACGCATTTGGATTGGTGGTGTTTTTTTAAGCCTCTCTAAAATTAAAAACGTGAGCACAAGTGTGTTTGTTAAAATGTGTTTATTTGCTCTAACATAAGCTGCAATCAGCAGGCCTAGATAACCAGCTTATTAGCTGAGCACTACCTTCAAAGCCAGGATTAGCTGCTACTGTAATGTGCAATAACTGCTGCAGTCAGAAGCCAACTATGTTAATAAAACGGGCTGCAGGTGATGAACCAACACATTTCTGTACATTTGCTATTATGTACTAAAACACTGATGGTACTCTGTAATACAAATAATCTGCTGGTTGGTTTATTTCTTCTAATGTTTCTGTCAGTTGGAAAATGTAAGCCTGGGTCTTTTGTATCTTGTCTGCAGCCATCATGTTCTACACATGACACAGAAAGACTGAAAAGTCCGCTTACAAAGTTAACTACAGCTCCAGCGAGTTCAGTCGAGAAAAACAACAGTTGGCGCTTTTATTTACTCCTGTGTTCTGCGTCGCTGTTATCTTCACCTGAATATGTGATGGGCTAAAAAGAAAAGCTGGATAAAGCCAATTAATACACTCTCAACCTCTGCTCTTTGTGGTATTCATATGTGAGTCAAACCCATCAGCAGCCAGCAGGACACACTTTATTATGTATAAACAAGATTACAAACTGTAGCTGTAAAAGCTGCTGTCAAGCTCAAACACTCATTAAATCCAAGCCCTATAATTGGGGTCACAGCATCACGGGGAAGCTTTGGTCAGATGGCTGAAACGCAGGTGGGAAGCTGGCTGGACTGAGATCATTTTCGGTGTGTGCACCACTGTTTTTCACTGACACCAGTGTAATGTCATCAGACACCTCTGATTACAATTTTTGTCAGCGAGATCTGTGCTGTGCCAGCGCTAAGCAGATCATCGTTAAAGTAACCTGGCTGATAATTAGAGCGTGTGGAAGCTGTGTCAGGAGCTACAGTGTGTGTCCAGACACACACTGCGAACCTTTTTTTTTTGTTTTTTTGACATTTCAGCTTGATTTATTGTAGCTCTGCAAATGTGGAGCAAATGTACACAGAGTAAGCAAATGTAGAGGTGTTATCGTGGCCGAGGAATAGTACAGGTGGCCAGGTGTATGTGGTTGAGGAAGTTAATCAGGAAAACGTTACGGCCGTTGAAGCGGAACAAGCAACTCAGCCGTATATTGCATCTCTAAAATTGCCTGTACTATAAGCTAGTGTGACATTTACATTTTTATTTCCTCAGCTTATCCCACTTCTGACAGTGTCCACTCACCGAGCACAATGGCCAGCATCTGAGTGGCCTTTTTCTCCCGAGCATGCATGCTCCTGAATCGTGGGTTGTTCATGTGCGACATCGGCCTCAGCGACGTGTGCGTTCGTCCGTTGGACAGGTCCTTCACCTCGCAGCTCATCCTAACGGGAGGACATTCGACCTGGTTGCTCTCCTCTGCGTCCTGCTCCCTTTGCTCCTGCTCCAGGTCTAACTCGGTGCGACCGCAGGAGGCGTGGCTGATGCTGCAGTAGTTCTGCGTGTCCACCGGGGGCAGCCCTGAGTTCTCCACCGGACCCGTCTTCGGGCGTTTGCGCCACAGACATCCTGAGAGCAGGTTGGGCTTCGAAGGACCCGTTGGTTCTACACTCTGTTGGAGGTACAAGTGATACACAATCACCCACAACTTGAAATCAATAAAGACCCAATTCCAAAAACTTTCCAATTATAATAGTTATGCTACTAAAGCTGCACTAATCAACATCTTAATAGAACTAATAAATCAAATATGTGATGTGTAATATGAATGGTGTCAGCTGTTACAAAAACATAAAATTATCACGGACCGTTCAGTGTCTTTTAGCTCATTGTTTTGCTTTCCTGGTCTGCAGCTTTAGTGTTTTGGTTCAATCTCACCACCCTCATCAACCTCAACTGCAACAGGAAGCAGTTTTTTAGAAAAAAAAACAGCTCTTTCTGCACACGTCAGTCAAAATAAACAGATATCTAGTAAACAGCAGAGCACTTGGCAGCGAAAGGAGACAGATTTTTTTCTTTCTGAACTGATTATGACCAAAACAGAGTATGTAGCTCTGTGTCTGCTACATGTGTAAATAGCAAACTAAATAAGGTGACGATGTGTCCGTTTGGTGTTTTCAGCTTGATCTGCTGTTCCAAGGTGTCGGACACAAAATTATGGCAGCTTTAACGTTTCAGTTAAAGTGGATCACACTTCATCGCTCTTCCGTCTTTATTTCGCTCAAATATGCAGTTTATTATCTATTGAAAGATTGCCTTTAGCTGATCCTCCTTTACCTCACATGGAAAATATTCAAAGCTCAGTGTTATGCCACCAAGACAAAAAAGTGGTGACTAAGACTCAGAAAACTAGCACTTACAGCCAATTCATGTCAGAAGTGCTGTTCAGACGGACTAAAAGCGACCGCACTCCAAGTTTCTAAAGCTCTACAGTATCTCTGTTATCTTTTATCTCTTGTAACATGAAACACTTTCACTTCCTGAACCACTCGCAAACTCAGAAACTCCAGTGAACCTTTTTCCCTCTCAGTTCTAAGTATTGTGCAATGCATGTTTCCTGTATGGCCACGAATATGAATATTCATATTAGTCTCTTACTCATCTCACCACACATTTGTTTTTAGGGGAGGATTACAGATTGTTATTTTCTCTGCCTTTGTGGACTCTGCAGGTGCTGCAGTGCGTCACCCACAGACTTTACTCAGCTGACTAGTGACCAGGTGACGTAGGGCAACACGCAATGCTTCAGAATCACAATTTGCGATCTCGTTCTCAGACCTCTGACCTGGCGCAATGAAAAACTCACGTTTGCATGAACATACAGACAAACAGACCCACGGGAAAAGCTAAAAGCAGCATCGCCATGCGTGCCACCATGTCAGAAAACGCCAGCTCAGTCAAAACGAGAGTCAGTCAGGCATGAGGCGGTGCTGCAATCAGCAAGACTAGAGCATTGAAAAAAACAATTCAGTTGTTTAAAATAGCACTTACCACTTTAATCCTTATAGGCGACAGGTCTTGCTTCGTCTTTGGAGTCTCTTCTTGCAAACAGGTCTCCTAGGAGATATAGGGGAGGTTCAAGATAGAAAACATTTTCCAGAGAAACGCTATTTATTTACACACCCAAATCCCATCAGTCTACAGGTGGAGCATTTTTTTGCCAGTCACCTGAGACTTAGGATTCATCTCAGGGGACACTTTTATTAAAATTCAAACAATTCTCAGAGAGTGTCCCCGAGACAGACACAACAAATCAAGACAATTAGGATTTGTGCCTGTTATGGTTTCGGTCGCTCTCACTCCTGAGCCAAACGCTGTGCAACTCAATTAGAGCTCACCGCAGAAATAAAGATAGGTGTCTTTGAAACACAGTGAGAGAGAAATGAAAGACTCCTTCTTCATATCAAGTTCCTTCACTTGACTGAGTGAGAGTCCCATTATGTTATTTCAAAACACGTTTCTATTATGACGCTCTCAGCCTGAACTCCTCCAGGGCTCTACTACAACCAATTATCTGTAACCTGGTGTTAAAATAGAGGACCTGACTATAAATTTGTGTGCATTGAAGGGGAAAAATGGAGTGCAATGAATCCAGCCACATTACGCAGGAGGCTTGTGGATATGCCAGAGCTGGTCAAGTTAATGGCTAGATTTATCTAACAGTGTCTCCTTATGCACCGTATTTTAAAAATAGGGCCGATACAGATGCACAGAGCATGACCTGGTGTCTCCTTGCCCATGGTTATTAAGATAAAGCCATCATTTGTAATGATAGATGGAACTGGGACAAACATTAGAGTGACGGATACGATCAAAGAACTGACAGCTCGTTGAGAACAAAACTCGGAATTGCATTATAATGAGAAACCAGCATTTAAAGAACAATGTCACCGTGGTCACAAAATCACTAATAGTAGAAAAATGAGACAATATTAGGATGACTGTTGAAGGACGAAAATAAATCTGAAGCTTGTTTCTCAAAATAAAAATAAAAGATTATGATCCTTCGTACTTGTTTGATCACATCTATCTATCTATCTATCTATCTATCTATCTATCTATCTATCTATCTATCTATCTATACTTCAAAACTGATATGGTGTAATACAAAGCTCACAGAGAGAAAAGAGATGTAAGCATAGAATGTAGCCTCTGTGATTAAACACTCTATTTTTAACTTGGCATGTCATTTTAATTAAGAACTGCTTTAGTTTTGCGCTGACAGCTGTGTCAGCTCCATATGAACAGCAATACATTTACATTTCATCTCTGACCTGTGTTGCCAGAACTTCCTATTGCACTTTACCGAGCACCCTAACAGAAAAAAAATAAAAAATAAAATCCCCTCATTTTCTCTGATACTCCTGTCACATTATTAGTTATTCTGGAAATTCCTCTGACATTGGCTCTGAACCCTTTTACCTGCAAGTAATTTGTAACAAAAAACCTCCTGCATATCAGAAAACACCTTTTACTGAGGCAATTTTACAGAGTCTCTTTGCCTGAAATGTTCTTGTCTAGCAAAGAAACCAGTTCTGAGGTTTTTAATGAAGCTTTTGCTTGTGACGTACATGCGCATTGTGTGTGTGTCTAACAGGAAAGGTCCAATGTAAAGGTGAGCTGTAATTTGCAAGTCATTATCAGTGTGCATAAAGTGGGAGAATATAAATGAGGGAGATGGGATGCGTCTACATGGGTAATATAAAGTTGCTGTCATAAGAAGAGGGAGCTAACAAATACATACTCTGAGCTAGACCAAGATGAATTTTTAACTTTACACAATCAAATATAAAAGGTTATAAAAGTGCTGGAAGAAAATCTCTCTACAGCTGCAGCATTTTCAGTAATAAATCGTCAAGGACGTCTCACTTTAATATTAGTTCGACACCTCAGTTGTAAATGTTACTAAATCACAGGCAAAAATCTTTTTTTTTTTTACCCTGTTAACATGTCCATGTGGTGTTTTTTTATATGCTGGGCGACATATTACAAGTGAAGTAAAGAGTTAGCACCATGGATGAGCTTTTCCACCTTGAAGCTGCAACCAACTGATGACCAAAAACACGGATTCATACGTAAGAAACAAATCTTGGGTCTTTTGTGTTATTATTTTTCTTAAGATTCGGATTCTGGTTCGAACACGTGGGGCTGAATTACTCCAATACTGGAGCACAGAGTAGTTTTGCAGTGTTTGAGCAGAGTTGTAGGTGAGCTGGTGTGCCGAGCTGCAGCGAATGGGGCGAGAGGTGGGGATTAAAGTTACGTAAATATGCAACTTTAATACACACAGCTTTCATTTAGGGGTTCTCTACAGAAATCTTAATACAGTAAAAGAAGTGAATGTTGAAACGTTATTTGTGAATTTGGTTTTAGATGCTTTTTCAAGAATGTCAGAGGTCAAAAACAAGACTTCTTGATTAGCTAAAGAGCAAGAGACTCCAGTGACTCAACTCAACTGTGTAATTAAACCGATAATCCTCAACATATTGGTTGGTTTACTGTTAGTTCTGTGTTTACATTGCACCCTTTTTAATACTTTTGATTGTAACGACCAATAATTTTTGCAATTCTTTTTCTAAGTATCAGCATTCTTGGCACTTTTTTTCTATTTCTTTGACCAGCACAATTTGCGTGTTATTTGCATGTTGTTTCAAACATTCTTTCCTTATCGATCTTGAATGTAACATGTGTGAGTCACTAGATACCTTGAATTTTCCCAAAGCAATGAATAAAGTGTCTATCTGTATATCTACAAACACAACACTGCTGGAGAGGGATAAACACCTGCCACTACCAGGCAACCCAAAAGTTGCATTTGCTAACAACTTGTTTCAATTATTCATTAACCATTGATAGAGCAATTTGTTACAGCTTATGAATACTTAATAATCGGTCTCTTCTCATAATATGGTACCATAAATCCTGAAAACTGACAACATCACTGAAGGAAACAGCATTAAGGTGTTGGTCTCACCACAGACACCGGGGTTGGGCCTGGCTGCACCTTCCCGCTGGCCTGTCCGAAGGTGATCCTCTTCCTCCTCATTCTGAGGAAGACGTAGATACGGATGTAGACCAGCAGAGTGACGATGAACGGCAGGTAGAACGACACCACGGAGGAGTAGATGACAAAATCGGGGTTGGAGATGGAGCACACCATAGGGTCGTCTGCAATGGAAGAAAAAAAATTTAATCATTACGCAACACAGTGCCGAAATCACAGGATAATAAAAGAGACGGAAGGTGTAATTTACAGCCGACCTCTGAACCTAGAGCATGCTCTCCATTTTGAACATCACCTCGACGGCTTGTCCTTTTTCATATTCTGCCCACATACTTAACTGTACGTGCACTCACAAGGGTGACTGAGAGATGGAGGCACTCTGTGATTGGTTTGACACTAATTGCAGCATTTGACAGATAATGTATAGAGTCATTTTATAATCGAAATTAAAAATGTATCCGGTGAGAAAGTAGAGCAGTAAACTGAAGTTGGGGGGAAAAAAAGGCTTTGACCGCAGCTGTTGACAGCACAACACATGTCAGCGGCATGAACGAACTGAGGCCTCTCTGAACGTCCTCTTCGATCAATACCGCACATACCTGAATGCACAGAGAGATGGAAACAAGGACAGACAGACACAATCTATTTGTAGCCACTCTCCAAACTACCTTCAGCTTCTAAGATCACATCATTTAGCAATTTTGATAGGCAGTTACGCAGCCTTGCTCCTTTTTCAATTTGTTGCTTTCAAAGAAATTGGTGATTTGGTGATACCGGTGATGTGAGGTTACCCGGTGACAGAACAGTGGGAATCCTGCAATCAACAGCCACTGGTTGTCATTGATTGTAAATGGGCTAAACTAAACGCTTGTATCTGTGCGAGTAGCTTTACATTGTGTTTGCCTAATGCTCTTAATTGTGTGTGCAGTCGTGCATCTGTGCTGCAGGCTATTGAAATTAAAATAGCTACTGGTGATGTCCTTCCCTTGTCATTGTTTTGTTGTGGATTTTTCTTGTTCCCGCGTCACAGAAGATGTTATTTTTGTCATTACAGTAAATCTGCAGTTTTGTGGAACATGGATAATTCCTAAAACATTCCTCAATATTCCATTAACAATAGAGACATTTTTTTTTACCACACTACCACAACTGTCCCTCTGCCTACACATACAACATGTTATAAATTAATATAATAAATAACTAAAAGCACAAGTGCTGCAGGTGAAAATTATAGAATGAGAAACTGAGGTAAAGGTGGCCAAAGTAAATTCAAAAAAGGTGACATCATGCAAAAAAAACCATCGCTTCAATATTAAAACATTTCTTGCAGTGCACTGAACATCCCAAAGAAACGATATACTGCAAGAATGCAATT